TGGTGAACCAAGTTCCAAGAAGAGGCAGCAGGCTGGGCACCAGCGGACCCTGGGAAGGTCAGGGAAAGGTTAGGGAGTCGTGGGGCGGCCCAGCTCTGGAGACATCTCAGCCACCAAGGCCCCCTGGTAGGGAGGGTCCTGGGGTGAAGGAGACACGTTCCGCCCAGGGAGACGGGACTGCGCCTCTGAGCGCCCCAGGGGTCCCACCCGCAGCAGCGGGGGGGGACCAGGTCCCACCTCTGACTCCCTCCCCGCGGAAGCCGGAGGCCGGACTGTGGCGTCTCCTCTGCACCATATGAGGGGATCCATCCGGGGTGCCCAGTGTTCCCCAAGGCTCCCCATGACCTGCCTCCTCACGCCCTGGGGTCCCCCTGCTCAAGCACCGCAAGAGGCTGGCTCTCCTCTCCCCCCCTTCAAAGCAGACACCCTCCCGCGGCCTCGGGGCTCAGGCTCCTTCCTGGAGTCGGGGGCAGTTATGGGCAGGGGCCTCTGGACGCTGCTCCATCTCAGTCGATGGAAGGAAAATCTAGCCTTCATCGAGGACAGTGGTTCTCAACCTTCCTAATGCCACGACCCTTTCATACAGTTCCTCATGTTGTGGTGACCCCCAACCATAAAATTATTTTCGTTGCTACTTCATCACTGTAATTTTGCTACTGTTATGAATCGTAATGTAAATATCTGGTATGCAGGAAGTATTTTCATTGTTACAAATTGAACATAATTAAATCATAGTGATTAATCACAAAACAATATGTAATTATAGATGTGTTTTCCGATGGTCTTAGGCGACCCCTGTGAAAGGGTCGTTCGACCCCCAAAGGGGTGGCGACCCATAGGTTGAGAACCGCTGATCTAGGGGCCTTGGAGGAGGAGAGGGTGGAGGGTTCCGTTTCTTATTATCACTCTCAGATCCAGGTCCCTCTGCCATGGGGACCCTGCACCCCGTCTGGGCCGAGACTGAGCGCACTGCCCTGGGCCACCCCCCTAAACTCCTGACGGTTTCCCAGAACCGGTGCGGCGGCCTTCCCAGGGGCTGCCCCAGAGGTTTCACTGGGACGTGGAAAGCTAGTAGAAGAATTACTTATTTTTATCTCAGTCTTTTAAAATATATATATTTCGATTGATTTCACAGAGGAAGGGAAAGGGAGAAAGAGATAGAAACATCAATGACGAGAGGGCATCATTGATCGGCTGCCTCCTGCACGCCCCACAGTGGGGTCAAGCCCACGACACGGGCGTGTGCCCTTGACCAGGAATCGAACTGTGACCTCCTGGTTCATAGGTCAACGCTCAACCACTGAGCCACGCCAACGGGGCTATTTTCACCCCAATCTTTACAAGTTTTACGTGTGTCTGTGGTGCAGGACGTGTTTGCACAGGAGCACAGCATATAATTCATAAGCGGATGCACAGGTCTGTTTCGTGAGCGCACACTGACGTCCTGCCTGTACTGAAGAAACGCTGGGGGAGCACTGGCCGGAGGGTGGAACGGAACCCCTTAGCCAGCCTTCACTCGCTGGCCTCTTGTCTCTCCGGCTTCATCTACTATTCCTCCCTCTCCTCCTCCCCTGGTGCGTCCCCCGCGTCCCCTGTGACATCACTGCCCTGCTGCCACTTACCTTCCAGTTGCTGGAACGTTGGCTTTCAGGCCCCTGGCAGGGCCTTCGGTCTGAGGAGCACCCTTCCTGCAGCCCAGCTCCTCTTGAAGCTTCCCTGGTGCTGACAGCTCCCAGCGTGCCCGGCCGGCGCCGTTACTTGCCTAAGTCACTCTGTGACGGTGACTGTTTAACTTAGTGCATTGGTCTGGACTACCCACCCCTGGAGGGCCAGGCCCACGTCTAGTCCGTCTACAGCCAGAATAGACCGAGGTCTATTTCCCTGGCATGGGGGGGGCGGGCAGGAGAGAGGGCAGCGGGGCCCAGGGAGGGTAATCGTCTTCACAAGGTCAGGCCTGCCGACCCCAGTAATCAGCTTGAGCCTCCTAATCCATCACAGCAGGAGCGTAGGACGCACAGCAGTGGCCTGGGAGCCGGCAGGGGCCATCTTGGCCTCCTTGGCTGACTCCGCCTGGGAGGGGATGGGGCAGCCGAGCCATGTGCACCACCCTCCTCCTGCTCAGCACCTTGGCTATGCTCTGGCGCCGACGATTCGCCAACCGGGTCCAACCGTGAGAGACTGACTGGGCCATGGGCTGGGGTGGGGGGAGAAACTGCGTGGCCAAGCTGGAGGGGGGCAAGGCTGCCTGCACCTCCAGGGCAGGCGGGGGGGGGGGGCTCCAGGGGTTTGCAGGGACTCCCCGAGAGGCTCCCCCCATCAGAGTAGGGGACTTGGAGCTCTTCAAAGACATTGGCTGCCACCACCTCCGGTCAGTCCCACAGCCCCAGGTGGCCAGGCCCTCCGAGGAGCAGGAGAGGGGCCTGGGCTCCGGCCCACAGCTCTTCCCGCCTGCCCTTCCCTCCCACAGAGAGCCCAGCGAAGTAGACGGGGCTGGGGCCGTCCTGGGCGGCAGCCTGCAGACAGACACCCAGTCCCCTGGCAGGTAAGGCAGAGAGAGTCTGGGATGGAGGAGGGTGTTGCCAAGGAGGGTGTTGTCCTGTTCCCTGTCCCTGTCCCCGCTTGGGGAGGTGCATGGGGGTGCACTGGCTGTGTGCTGGCCCCTGGCCCCCTGGTGTCTGGTAGGCAGGCTCAATGCCTGTGTTCTTTCTCCAGCCTGCCCCCTGGGCCAGAGCTGCTCTGCTTTGCTTGTCCGGGAGGGCAGGTGGCCCCGTCCCTTCGTCCCTTCGTCCCATCGGTAGGACGCTCAGGGGGATTGGAGAGAGGGATGAGGCCGCTCTGCCTTCCCTTCCCTCCCTCTCCGGCTCCACGCCCAGCTTCAGCGGCTCCTGCGGCAGGATTCGCGGTCCAGTCCCCAATAGGAGGCGCATGACATCATCAGCGCCGAGTGTCATTGGCTGCGCAGCCCCTGCCGGCAGGACGCTGTCTCCAGTGGCCAGAAAGTTAGCTCCGCCCCAGGCAGAAGTCCTGTGGCCCTTACAGGGGGTGAAGTTTGGGGAACTTCGGACTTTCCTTCCCTGGGTGACCAGTGTCCTTTGATGAGAGGAGCTCCTATGCCCAACAAAACACAGAAAAACCCACAAATGTTTATTAAGAACATTCTAGTGTGGAGACCGTCTGCAGAGTGCGTTCTCCCTGCAGAAGAGGTGCCGGCCCTGGCACGGCTTCTCTCCCTCCTCGTGGGGCAGAGGCCTGGGGCCCGTGGGCTCAGGGCCCCTGGAAGGTGTCTCCCCGGGCTCAGCCTGTCCGCGCTCCCAGGTCCCTTTCTGGCTGAGGAACCTGCCTGCCGAGGGCCCCTTAGAGGTGGTGCAGACTGGGAGCCCGGAGGCCCTGTCTTCATGTCCGATTCCCCAGGTTCCACGTGTCAGGAGGCCCATTGCCACGTCCTGGGCATGTGTGCCCCCTCCTGGGCCTCCGGGCCAGCTGGGGTGGTCACAGCAGGGCCTGGCTCCTGCGATGGTGCGAGGGGCTGCCACATACGCAGTGCCATCACCGGGCCTCACGCGGTTTAGTCTTGACTTGATGTCCTCTCGCCTGCCAGCCGCATTGTAACCCGCCAGTAGCCTCCTGGTGTCTCAACCACGTTCTCTGTTAACGTGGCCTCGTGGCAGCATAGCCCAGAGCTGTAGGAGGGTCAAAGGGGAAGTTCCTGTAAAATATGCCTGGCTCCAGGCGCAGTCGGTGCTGGGTAAATGGCGGCTGTGCTGCCCCCAAAACCCTAAACCAGTGGTTCTCAACCTTCTGGCCCTTTAAATACAGTTCCTCATGTTGTGACCCAACCATAAAATTATTTTCGTTGCTACTTCATAACTGTCATGTTGCTACTGTTATGAATCGTCATGTAAATATCTGATATGCAGGATGGTCTTAGGCGACCCCTGTGAAAGGGTCGTTCGACCGCCAGAGGGGTCGAGACCCACAGGTTGAGAACCGCTGCCCCAGACCCTCCCTCCAGTCCCACCTGGTTCCAGGCATCGTTTGGGCAGCTTTGCTCTCCGGTGTGTGGCGCTGTCTTTCCCTTACAGCCACCTAGTCTCCAAAGCAACATTGGAGGAAAGATCTTTCCCAGGTGGACAGTCTCCTCTCCCGGGAGAGAGCAGGACCGCGCCATAGAAATTACTGTAGAAATGGACGTTACGGCCCATTGGCCACTCTGCTCTGCTGAGAAGGCCCTGCTCAGCCCCCCACTCCCGGGTGAGGACAGGCTCCTGGCTCCCGGGCGGCCCACACGTGCACGTGCAGCGAGCTCTGGAGTCCGGGCCTGGGAAGGGATCGGGGGGGGGGGGCGCCAGCTGCTGCCGGTGGTCTGATCAGCGCTGTGGGCTGATGCCACTGCCGCTGCTGTCCGGTGGCGTCACTGTATTCTCTCCCCCAACACAGATGAAAGAGAGTTAAAAAAAATGGTGGGGTGACTCACTAGGCATGGGGTGTGAGGAAGAGGAAGGCCGGAAACGTGGGAAGGTCACCCCTGCACCCCGACTCCCATGCTGTTCTCTGTTTAGGGAGAAGCCTGTGGAGTAAGCCCTCACCTGGTCAGGGGCAGCTCAGCCCCAGGAGTGGGATCAGCTGGCCGAGCAGGTAGGCGGGGCCGGGAGCCCTGGAAGGCAGAGGGCAGGGGGCGGGGCTGGGCACAAGGAGGAAGGATGTGCAGGGCCTGGCCCTGTGGGACCGAGTGGGCCAGCTCTAGCCCCGGGTCATGGACAGGGGGTGCGAGTGGGCAGGTGCCCTCCTTCCGTCAGCTTCTACCACGAACCTGTATGTTCGCTGCCAGGTGGCAGTGTTAGTTTGAAGAGCACCACATGCATCATTTCTTTTTTTTTTTAAGATATATTTTATTGATTTTTTTACAGAGAGGAAGGGGGAGGGATAGAGAGTAAGAAACATCGATGAGAGAGAAACATCGATCAGCTGCCTCCTGCACACCCCCTACTGGGGATGTGCCCGCAACCAAGGTACATGCCCTTGACCAGAATCGAACCCGGGACCCCTGAGTCCGCAGGCGGACACTTTATCCACTGAGCCAAACTGGCCAGGGCTCTTTTTTTAAAAAATATTTTTTTTATTGATTTCAGAGAGAAAGGGAGAGTGATAGAAACATTAATGATGAGAGAGAATCATGGATCAGCTGTCTCCTGTACGCCCCCCATTGGGGATGGAGCTCGAAACCCGGGCATGTGCCCTAACTGGGAATCGAACTGTGACCTCCTGGCTCATAGGTCGACGCTCAACCACTGAGCCACACTAGCCAGACCATCATGTGGATCTGGACAGCCTTTTCCAGGCTTGGGGGTGCAGCAGTGCCATGCTGCGGGCCTCTAGGGGAGAGGGCTGCCCGCCTTGGCGTGGGAGAGGTGGCGATCTGGTTGGGTGTCTGCCAGCTCAGGCCCTGGAGTGACCCTGCCCCAGGAGGATGCTGTGGGGGAAGCAGCCGCAGGTGGGGAAAGGGAGCATGAGAAAAGGCAGCACCTGAGAAGGTAGCCCCCTCCCTCTCAGCCCTGGACCCCCATCCTCACTGCTCCCCAGGCCCTGGCTGTGCAAGTCCAGAGGCCGGGCCTGGCTGGGGCAGGCGGGAGGGGCAGAGATGCTCGTTGCTGTAGGATGGACTCCCTTCCTCTGAGCTCCTGGGCACCTCACCTCGGAGGCAGGCCCAGAGGGAGGACTCAGTGGGCCCACGGGGTGGACTGCGCAGCCCCGGCTGGGGCAGGAACAGGGCGAGTGGGAGACAAGGGCCGCCCATTCCTTCTCTGCTCCAGTCCTTGCAAGAACCCAGAGACTGGCCCTGTATCACCCACATCTTAGGAATGAGAACACAGAGAGGCTAACGGGCTTGCCCAGCATCACCCAGCTGGTAAGTGGGGGACCCTGGGCTCCCATGGAGGCTGCACGGGCCTCCCTGGAAGCGCTGAGAGTTCACAGCTGCTGGGGGGAGGCGGGTGTCCCAGCCTGGCCGCCTCTCTGGCTCAGGAGCTCCATGGTAACCCTCAGCCGTGGCCCCGGCTGTGCGGTGGCTCTCACTCCCTGTGGGGTTTGCCTCTCCTGGTCCCCAGAGCTCACGCTGCCACTGGCTGCGCTGCTGAAATGATCAATAAGACAGCCAGTTGGCTTGTGACATGCGTGCCTGCAGCTAGCCACAAGCAGCCCCAGCCCGGCCCTGTGTTTTCTGAGTGTGTGTACATGCGTGTGCGTGTTCCAAGGGGGCAGTAGTGTGTGGGGAGGGGAAAGCACGACGCTTGTTTTTGTCAGCCGGCTGACTGCTCAGTGACGGGAGCCGCCTGGGCCCCCAGCTGCTCTGCCATTTCTCTCCTCACAAGCCTGCCTGATCCCGAGCAGAGATAAAAGCAGATTTCCGCTTCTGCTCCCTGGGATCCAGGCGCAGACCCTGCAGGCAGCTGCTCCCGACCGGCTCTTGCAGCCGTTCATCTTCCACAGCCCCCCCCACCCCCCACCCGCATGCCTCTCTCCCCATCCAGCAGCTGGCCCACCCAGCGCGGGTGCCCCGAGGCCCTGCCCCTGCCGTCAGGAAGCGGGAGATGGAGGGGTTCTCTGGACAGCAGCACCTGGCATCTGAAGGGGAGGAAGGGAAGGGGAGCCCAAGGGGACCACGCGGAAGCCCTGGGGAGGGGCTGCTGGGCCTGTCGGAGCCTCCAAAGTAGGGCAGGTGGAGGCCGGGGAGGAGTCACCCCAGGGCAGGCGCTCTGTGCTGGGACCACGTCAGAGCCCGGCTGCCCACTTGACAGGGGCCGTGGGTTCGAGCCACCTGTCTCAGCGCCTGTCAGCCTGTCCTTCTCCCGGGAGGCAGGGCCTTCCTGGTGACAGGGCTGTCAGGCTGCGGGCCAGAGGGCACTGTGCCCAGACTGTCTGCTCCCTGATCGTCTTCACATCCTCTCTCTCATCCGCGTGCCATGTCCCTGTCACTCCATCTCGCCTCTGCTCTCTGCCATTTCCGAGTTGCCTGTCTCCTTCCACTGGGCTGAGGAACTGGCAGGCCAAGGTCAGCGAGCTGTGCCGGGCTGGCTCCCAGCCCAGACACACAGCCAGTGACACCCCTTTGCAGCGTTCAGAGCGGCTCAGGAGATGGTGGCTCCTCCAGGGACCCACTCCGGATGGAGGGAGGGAGGGAGGAAGGGGCTGGGGGCGGTGGGGGCCCTGGCAGCGGAGTGGGGGTGGGGGGAGGCCATGTGGGCTGGGAGGGAGGGAGGGCTGTCCCCCAGGACGCAGGCTGCTGTAGTGGGAGCAGGTTGTTTACGCTTCCCCCCACACCGGCCCACGCTCCCTCTCATTCCTGGGCCCTCCCAGCGGGCTGTCTGCACAATCTGCCCAGAAAGCGGCTGCCCTGGGCCTAGGACTCCTCTGCAGAAGGTGCCGGGCCCCAACGCCCCTTTCTTGGCCCACTGTCTCCCGTCCCAGGGGTCAGTGTGGAGCCCATGGCCCCGCCGGACGCCATGTCCCCCGGCCTGAGTCCTCCTCCCCTCCCACTTCCTGGAAGAGCCACTGCTTGGAAACGGGAGCAGGAAAGTCCAGGGCTTGGGAGACACCGTCACCGGAGGGAGGGGTCGAGGGCAGTGGGGAGCCGGCCGAGGCGAGGGCGGGTCACTCGTGGTCCGGCTGGAGGAGCGGTTGTGCGGGTTCGAGAGGAGTGAAGCGCTCACACGCCGTGTTCCCCACGTGAGCTGTGTGCTTGTTTGTGCGCTGCCAGTTACCAAGCAACTCGTCATTTCAGAATAATCCCACAGCCAGTCCCGCCCCGACCCCCCTCCTGCCCCGTCTTTACACACACACACACACACACACACACACACACACACACACAATAGCTGGGCAGGGGGCGGGGGCGGGTCTGACACAAATTAGAGGACAGTGGAGGGAGCAACTGCTGGGTGGGGGCCTAGGAAGCCCAGCAGCCAGGAAGGCTGGACGAGAGCACCGGGAGCCTCTGAGCCCAGAACCCACCTCCAGTGGGGCCGTGGCCTGGACACCTCCCGGCAACGGGCTCTGCTTCCAGCAATGAATCCCGGGGAGGACAGGAGGTGGCTGCCCTGTTGCTTCCCGTCCTCCATCTGGAGGCTGGTCTCTGTTGCTGATCTCTGCTGGCGGGAGCCAGTGGCAGGGAAGGCTGCTCCTGGCTGCCCCGAGATTCAGATTCATTCGTAGCAGCAGAGCCAGGTGCCCGGAGGTAGGTGTCCAGGCCACGACCCCAGGGCGGTGCTGTTGGCGGTGCTTCTGTGGCTGGGACTCCGGGCGGCTGTGGTCTCCCCTGGAGACTGGAACACGACCGGAGAGCTGAGGAGGTGGCGGCGGGCGCAGGGCGGGTGCCGCTGCTGCTGTCCTGTCACCCTAGGGTGCAGATGCCACCTCGGGGAGTACCTGCCCATCCCAAACGTGAGCTCGTGTGGAAGTGGGCAGGATGGTCCTGGAGGAGGGTATGTAGCAGAGGCACTGGCCCAAGATGAGGTGGGCACGGCCTACCTGCGGCCGCTCGATGGCATGAGGGCAGGGTACCCCGCTGGCCCACAGGCTCCCAGGGCCCCTCTGCAGGGGCCTCAGGCAGAAGCCCGAGACCTTCAGCTGGAGGAAAGTCATACTTCTTTGGGGGCCTCGAAAGGAGAGTGGCCGAGCGGCTTACGCTGTGGTTCACATTAATGTAATGATAACGGTGCCACTAATATTATTAATAACGGCTGACGTGTCTCACACACTTACGTGCTGGGCACTGTGCCGAGAGCTCTCTCTGAGCCTCGTCTTGTTTATGAGCAGGAGCCGCTGTCTTCTCACTGACCCGACAAGGAAAGGGAGGCTCACAGAGTTGGCTCCAGGGCACGCACAGCCAGGGTGAAGCCAGGACCTGCACCGGGCACCCTCATGCCAAAGCTTGTGCAGCTGTGGGGACACAAGGACCCGAGTCTAGAGCCGGGCGTGACCTGGCGACCAGGGTACGGCGATGAGCTGTGGCCCCGCCCTGGGTGACGCCCTTGCAGGTGGGCTGGGCGGCGTTGGCCAGGGCTCTTCCCTTGGCGCTCTCCCCAGGAGCTTGTCATTCAAGGGCAGACCAGGCTCTCCCATGAAGGACTAGTCCTCGCCTGCCAGTGAGGGGGCGAGGGAGCTGCCTCTCCCGGCTCTGTCCTCAGGGAGGAAGCGGCGGCCAGGGATGACAGTGAGGTCACCACTCGGCCACCCTGCTGCCTCCCTCAGGAGGGGGAGGGGGCTTGAGGAGAAAGGGTTTGTTCTGGACTCTGCAGGGGGAGGGCAGAGCGTGGGGACCCAGGAGGCAGCTTCGAGAGGGACCCGCAAACCTGAGCTGGACACAAGTCCCCGTGCCCAGTGACTGCAGACCCTCTCAGTGGGACACACACGCCCCCTAGTGGGGGTACAGCAAGAGGGCGGCTGAGAGCATTTTAAGAAGATTTGCTGAGGGACTAGGACCCATGAGCCTGGGTAGGAATGGTCAGTCCCGTCTCTATGTGCACACGTGCGCACACACACACACACACTTACTACCACAGGCCGGAGCCAGCTGACCTAAGCATTAAAAAGAAAGATTTCCTCTATTCCACTGGGCATTGACTTAGACAGCGTATTAGGAGCCTCCGGTGCGCATTGTGGGGCGTGTGCTGGGCGCTGGGAGTGACCCGGTGATGCAGGAGGCAGTGCCTGCCCTCCAGTTAGTACAGGGGCAAGGTCCCCACAGAGGAGGCCCAGTGCTGCCCGCTCCGCAGCTGGCTGGTCATGTGACCCTGCCTGCTCTGGACCGCAATGTCCCCGTCTCAGGAGCATGTGTGGAGCCCGGGTGGGCCGTGCTGGGGACGTCAGGACTACCGCCCCTCCTCGGGAAAACCCCTGTCCAGGGAGATGAAGGGAGGGTGGCCCTCTGGGGCCCACAGAGCCTCCCAATCCACAGAGACACCGTGGGCCGCTCCGAAGGCGCTGACAGACTCGCCTACTCGACGAGCGTTCCGGAGTGCCCGTGTGCCAGCTCCTGTGGGTACACGATGAATTCAGACGTCCTGGCACAGACCAGCAGAATACTGGGCGGAATGTAAGAAACGCGCTGTCGACCACAGGCAGCAGCCAGGACCGGGACCCCAGGACGCCTTGGCGCCCGCCGCAGCCAGCCACGCAGCCACGGGCCTCACCGAGGGGAGGAGACGAGCTCAGAGCTCGGACAGCGTGGCGTTCCCAAGGACGTGCACACAGATCAGTGGGTCCCAACGCAGATGCCACGAAGGCGACTCAACAGAGAAAGGAAAGGCCCCTCCACAGACGACAGGAAGCACTAACCATAAGAGGAAAAATGGATTCATTGGACTTGGTCAAAATTCTTGGAAAGACTGGGAGAAAATATCCGCCAAGCAAACAGCCGAGGAAGGACCTGTATCCAACATATAGAGAGAAATTTTACAATTTAATATAAATAAGACAGCCCATCAAAAGGGGGAGGGTTTTAATAGACATGTCACACAAAAAGTATACATATGGCCAATCAACACAGAGAGATGTTTGACATGGTAAGTCATCAGAGAAATGCAAATCAAACTCTCGAGGCACTACTAATGTTAACCACCAAAAATGGTTTAAATTAAAGACTGACCATAATAGGTGTTGGGCTGGTTTGGGACAACTGTTACATCTGCTTGGGAAGCAAACCAGCTTAGCAGTTTCCTGTGAAGTTATCCATGAGGAATGAAAATTCATGTTCACACAAGGATTTATGCAAAACTGTTCACAGCAGCTTTCGTAATAATAGCTCCAAGCCTGGAAGCAACCCAGATACGCGTCAACAAGTGAGCAGATAAAGACTGTGGTATGTTCACATAATGGAATAATAGTCAGCAATAGAAAGGAAATGAACTACTGATGTAAGCCACAACGTGGATAATTGAGAGAAGCCAGACATAAAAGAATACCCACTGTATGAATCCATTTGTATGAAATTCTAGAACAGGCCAAACTAATCCATAGTGACAGAAAGCAGACCAGTGGTTGCCTGGATACGGAGACTGGCTGCAAAAATGGTAGGAAGGTGCTCTTTGGCGTGACGACATGTCCTAAATTGTGATTGGGGTCGTGGTTGTGTGGGTGTATATGTGTATTGGATTATTGAACTGTACATTTTACACGGATGCAATGGTATGTAATAAAGATGACTTAAAGAGTTAAAAAGAAGCAACACAAGAATGAAGACCTGATCCTTGTCTTGCTCACGGTCGAGTAGAAAAGTCAGACTGGGAAACAAATAATCATAAAAGAGTGAATATTTAAAGAAGTATGTTCAGCCCTAGCCGGTTTGGCTCAGTGGATAGAGTGTCGGCCTGTAGACTGAAGGGTCCCAGGGTCGATTCCGGTCAAGGGCACATGCCTGGATTGCAGGCTCGATCCCCATAGGGAGCCTGCAGGAGGCAGCCGATCGATGCTTCTGTCTCATCACTGATGTTTTTTATCTTTTTCTCCCTCTCCCTTCCTCTCTGAGATGAATAAAAACATATTTAAAAAGAAGCGCGTTCAAATAACAGGAGTTCCGTTTCTTGCCCGATTCCCACGTGCCAGGCCCCTGCGAGGTGCGTCCCCAGCACAATCCTGAAGAGTCTGCTCAGCTTGTGAGATGGAGGAACAGCTGCCGGGCTGCCAACTAGCGGTGCCTGCCGGGCCACCGTGCCCGATGTGAGCAGCCAGCGGCCTGGGATATACCTCCCCTCCTTCACGTTCTTACTAATAGAATTAAAGACCCGCTCCAGGTTAAGAAATGAACATATGCCAAAGACTCCGCTGTCTATTCCTGGGGGTTTCGGACACCATGTCTTCAACCCGGCCAGTGAAGGGAACTCGGTGAGCTGCGCACGTGACCACAGCGGGCACCCTGACTAGATTTCTCCTCTGCACTCAGAGAGGACTCCTGCCCTGTCACTAAACTGTGCGGCTCTTTCCATGTCAATACATATAGGCCTTTACTAAGTAGTGTAATAGCTGGGTAGCAATGCCACCAGATGTAAGACTCCCATGTCCAGACCCCGCCAGCAGCCGAGTGCAATGAAATCACAGCAACATGAACACTTGGTCTCAACAGTTCTGAGCCCTTGCTTGCATTCGGACGTATTCTTTTTAAAAAAATATATTTGTATTGATTTCAGAGAGGAAGGGAGAGGGAGGTAGAAACATCAGTGATGAGAATCACTGGTCGGCTGCCCCCTACTGGGGATTGATCCTGCAACCCAGGCATGTGCCCTGACCGGGAATGGAACTGTGATCTCTTGGTTCATCATGAGGCCCAACCACTGAGCCACACCGGCCAGGCCGAGTTTCCTCTTTAAGTCTGAAATGACAGGGGCTTAGTTTGCAGGGAGAGAGAACCCATTCTTCCTCCCAGTATGATACAAAGTAATGTCTTCAAGGGTAAGACAGAGAAACGTTAACAACCAATTTCACAAGATAGACTTTATTGCTGGGTTCATGATTATTTGTTCAGTACATACTGGGAGCAAAGACAGCGGAATATCAAGTAGGCACGGTGAGGAAATTAACAAAGAAAGAAATGATCATTAAAAAAGACTTCTCTCGCCTCAAAGGGCTCGTAATCAAATGAAGGGAGTCAAACGTAAACAGACGCGAAAACTTGAAAACAAGCACCTGCGACGTATGACCGGACGGACGAATTATCCTGCATTACGGTGCAGAGAATAATCCAGACGAAATACCGCCGAGGGCACAGCTGAAGAGCTGGGAGGATGGGGGGAGAGCAATGAGAAAGGGCTCACATTTAACCTGATTTCCGGGTCCGCGTGGACTCTGGCCCTGGCTCTAGTTGTTGTTTTGCCCTATTGTTGTTTCAAAAATGAGGCCAGGGCAGTTGCCTGAAAAATAACATTCAGAAGTACCAGCGGGTGTTACATTATTCTCTATTCTTTTTCAAAATGTAATTATTTTTCCTTCTCAATACTGGCAGCGGGACCCATGGCACCCCGCTTCGGGGGAATTCAGAGCAGCCCGGCCCCTGGCTCTCGGGCGCCCCCTGCCGCCCGGGCCTCACCGCGCTCGCCCCAACGTGAAAAGCAGCTGAGCGGGGCGGGGAACAATTCTCCGCGATCCTTCCCTCCCCTTCACTAAAGCAACCAACCACGCCCGGTGACCCCTCCCCGCCCCGACTGAAATCCACAGGGCGATTTAGATGAGATCCAGCGGTGCCTCAGTTTCCTCATGGGTCCCCCTCGTGGGGCCCCCTCGAACTTTCTGCGTCCACCACCACCCCCAGCCCTCCCAGCCTCGGTAGCCAAAGCGACCGTCCATCTTCCTTTTCAAACGGCGGGAACTTCACAGATCAGGCCTCCCACCCCGGGAACTCTACTGCCTCTGGTGGTGGCCACCATCTTACCCCCGGCTCCAGGGTCGCGCCGAAAATGCGGCTACCCCCAGCGGCTGTTGTTTTGGACTACGTTTCCCATCAGCCCTTTCGCAACATCGCGAGAGTCCCAGCGAGACCGCCGAGAAGACTTGCGCGCAGGCGCGGCCCCGCCCTCTTCCCGAGGCCGGCCGCGTGGCTGGAAGTCATGGCTCCTTCTGTCCGGGCCCGGTTCGGCGAGCAGCCTCGGGCCTCAGGCCTTTGGCAAGGGTAAGGCTGCGGAAGCGGGAACACGGGGTCTTCTTTGGGCGCCAGCACACGTGGCCTCCCTTTTTCAGGGGCGAAATGGTGACGCCAAACCTCTCATCCTCCTGACAGGGTGGTTGGGAGGATTAGCTAACATGTTGGATGAGAGCCCTGACCGGTTTGGCTCAGTGGCTAGAGCGTCGGCCTGCGGACTGAAGGGTCCCGGGTTCGATTCCGGTCAAGGGCATGTACCTTTGTTGCGGGCACATCCCCAGTGGGGGGTGTGCAGGAGGCAGCTGGTCGATGTTTCTCATCAGTGTTTCTAACAATCTATCCCTCTCCCTTCCTCTCTGTAAAAAATCAATAAGATATATTTATAAAAAAATATTTTTAAAAAAAGATGTTGGATGAGAAAACGCTTTCCAAACGCCGCGAGGTTTTACGGTTGAAGGGAGAGAGCTCAAGCCCGCCTTTGGGGGGAGGGCCCCCCCCCGCGCAGCCCCCTGTGGACTGAGCTTGCAGCCCGGGCCCTGAGGGGGGTCCCGGGTCCGCCCGAGGCGCCGGCAGTGGCAGGTGTTAATTCAGGTCGCCAGTGTTCACGTCTGGACGCCTGACTTCCTCCTCGAGTGCCTGGAGAGCCGCCCCAACCAGATTCTAGAGAATTCTGCATTTAGCCATCGACGGGACCGGAGACTGGAAAGCCGCGTTTCTACAAAGAACCTTACACGGTCATTTTTTCCTTCCCCGCAGGCCTGCCTGTAGCATCTGCGGAGACAGAAGCGGACCTGCAGGTTGAAGCTTAAAAGGACTGGAATGAATGGAGCCCCGAAATGAGTAAGAATGGCGGGGTGCAGGCAGGATCTGGGAGGGTACCAGGAATGAGAAAGCCGAGATGGTGGGGAGGCCCCTCACATACAGCCGTCTAATACTCCGCCTCGCACTTGATTGGGAAGTTGAACTTCAGAATAAGGTCCATTCTGTGCACAAATGCTGGCATACATCTAGCATCCGGAAGTGAGGGGTCTGTGCCAGTGTGCCGTGGGGGCCGCTAGGTGTCGCTGTTTGAAACTTAGTGGAAACCATTGCATGGGGGCGTGAAGGGAGCCTTGGAAAGGGGAGTCGGCTGGCTGGGGTTTAGAAGTGTGGGTTACAGCGGAGCTGAGGATGATTTAAAGTTATCCCTGTCGGAAAGGGCTTCCTCTGTGAAGAGTTCTGACCTGCTGAGGCTCAGCTGTGTAAACGCCAGTCTTGAGAATAAATGCCTGACCATTGTTCCTAGTAGAATGAGACCTATGTTACCCCATTTCTCCTTCGGGCTAAAGGTGTTGGCTGTGGGCTTTGAGAAGTCACGTGAGAACCATCATCTTCAGATGCTGAGTGTAAGGATCTTCGTGATGGAGATTTCTGTAAACGGTAAGGTTTTTAGCTCTTTCACTGACTTGTGTAGGTCACGACCTCTTTTAAGGTTTGGTCGGCTAGATCTGGGAGATGTGTGGGTCTTTCCGGGTTGTCACTGCCCAGCTAAGGGAAGTAAGTAAGGAACTCTTTGCTATGCTCCTTGCCAAGCAGTCTCACCCACAGTATTTGTTACAACTGTTGTGAGAATTAGGTTAGACCAGTGGTTCTCAGCTGGGGGCAGGCGGTGTGGCTGGGATCCGGTGGGGGCTGCTCAGTGTTCTGCAAAGCACAAGTCAGCGCCCGCACAAAAGCACTGTCCACCCAGGATGTCCGTAGAGCTGAGATTGTAACCCTGTATCAGACCAGCTTGAGTGATTTGAGCTCTAGCCTCTGCCGGTCCCAGATAACCACACAGCCTTATTCATTCATTTGCAAAGCAGGGTCAGTGCTTCCCAGACCTGTCTGTGTGACAGAACCACCTACGAAGTGTTACAATATACACATTCCTGGACCCCACCTCCAGCCCTGGATGCGTGGGCCCAAGAATCACGCGTGGCAGTGTGGGCGCAGGCACGGAGGACTAGATGATGGGATCTACTTTCAGCCCCGATTTTTGTTACAGCGAGATTATAGGACTGGCTGTGTTTAACCAGCTCTCGGGGCAGATCCATAATCCTCTGTCTTAAAAAACAGAAAGCCACATGCTTGCTCTGCACAGAGAGGAGTGAGAGAGAAACGGCTTCCTGGCCTCAGGCACCGTTTGTGGTGCCTAAAGGAGTAATCTGCACTTAACTGACACAGGACAGACCCTTAGACTATATACCCCCCGGGCGCAGCTGTAAGACACGTGGTGCTGAGGGAGACCCTGCCTTTCAAAGGACAGGAACTGCCCTGGCCAGTCTGGCTCATTGGATAGAGTGTTGGCTCTCAGACCAAACGGTCTCAGGTTCGACTCCTGGTCAAGGGCACGTACCTTGGTTGAAGGCTCGATCTCCGGCCCTGATTGGGGTGCATGCAAGGAGGCAACCACTCAACCTGTCTTTCTCACATCGATATTTTTCTCTCCCCCGCCCCCCTAAAAATCAATGGAAGAATGTTCCCAGGGGAGGATTATCAAAAAATAAAAGCATGAACTGTCGATGTGTCAGGTCTGGACACTGGGTACATCTAGCACTAGATATGGTCAGGTTTTGCCCTTGAGGGAAAGTACCTTCTAATCCAGTAGATTTCGTTGAATGAGCGTTCTCACAAGGGGAGTAAAGCAGAGTTTGGTGAGAAAAATAGTTGCATGTGCTGTGGGCTGGCAGATTGGTGGGAGCCGAGTCCGTGATGATGAGTTATCCCTGTCTGAAGGCAAAGAGGCCTTCAGTGTGGAATTTGGATGTCTGAGACTCCGTTTCCCAAGCTTCTTATAGATAATTAGGCCTGGTTGGAAAGTGAGTTTCTTGAGTCGGTTTTTCTTTGCAATTTCTCCTCGCCAGGGGCGGTCCAGCCTTGGTTTCGGACCCGCGACGGACCCTCCAGGAGAAGCCTCTACGCGGCAGTAAGTGGCCCTGGGCCTAGAGTGGGGTTTTTTACGGACGAAACGACTTTCTGCACAGGCTTGGGGTGATCGTTTTGCTTCCCTGCCCGGGACTTGGGGTTCTGCTAAGTGGCAAGGAGACTAACACAGGTGTTTTCTTTGTCAGATGCCTGCGGTGTGAGGCACAGAACTGAGCTGCTTTGCCCGAAGCAAGTGAAACGGTTCCTCCCGTTGTAAGTTCCTGTTTCCGTCTCACCCGACTTTGTCCCCAAGAAGCCCCCAAGCCTATGATGGTTCGTTATCCCTGTCTGAACCTCTCACTGAGGGAGAACAGTCTGTTCTGAGGCTGGCGGTGGCTGGGCCCTGTGCTCTTACAAGTTCCGGTTTTATCAGGGATCAATCACACTGAATGGATTCCAAAGGAAACTGGATACCCGTGGGGCCCCAGGCCAGCGCCTCAGCTCTCTGCAGCTTGAAGGCCAATGGCGTGGCTGCCGTCACGCTTTAGGCCCCTGGATTAATGTCTCTGAGGGACGGGCTATGTGAGAGATGGCAGAACTGGGCAGTGGCCAGGATTTGGCTTAGGGTCTTGTGGAACAAGAGTGCTTGTCACATCTTTCAAGAAATCGGAGGGAGTCAGTGCCTGCAGCTGTGCAGGGAGAGTCCTGGGGCCGCTGGCCTCTCGCCTTTGCCCCGGGGCCTGCCCTAACTTCTATCACGTGTCCCAGGTGCTTAGCACCAGGTCTCCTAAGGTTGGCTCAGATCGCGCCGGAAAGGCATGACTGGCATGTGGGCAGGAAGGGATCAGTGGCTTGGACATGGCTTAGTGCCAGCTTGAAGTGGCACCGCTTGAAAGTGGGGTGTGTTTGGGCTCTTTATATTCAAGGCCACATGTGTGTTTGGTCACCATGGAAGCTATATTTGGGGTGAGGTTTGGTGAACCTGAAAACTGGCCCCAGCAGCTTACAGCCCAACAAACTGAAAGGGCATGTTACTAAATGGGGAAACCTCACAAGTTTTACATCTGGAGCAGGTGATGCAAATGTCCCTGGTGCTTTGTGGCTGGTCTTGACTGGCCACTTCCCAAACACTGCTGCCCCCTCCCCCTCCAACACGGTCTCCTGAAAACAAGCTGCCCATCATCTGGGGGCCTCACCGGCCATGGAACTACCTGACGGCACCCATCGTGCCTTCATGCACAGGGGCGTCCTGGGTTTGAACGAGCACCTCTGTGGCTGCCTTTTCTCTAACTTGGTGGATTCTTTAAAGTCAGTCTGAGTCAGTCAGTCTGTCGGCTGTTGTGTCACATGATTCTCTGGTTTTACAGGTGACCTCCCAGTTGTGCCGGCCGGATCCGCGCAGCCTCTGTTGCTAATGTTAATGCCTGGAAAGTGTTTCTCCCTGAGGAGAATCCTTTCAGAGCTCTGTGGACTTCATCTTCAAAAATAGCCAGATGATTCGAGAGCAAATGAGTTTATCCCAGAAAATTAGTGAAATTGGGGTATAACTAAGAACATTGGGAAGCTGCAGTGTGGGGGTCGATATTGGTTACACGTGTGTTGGCGGGACTGCAGTGACGGTGGATGGAGGTAATTAACATGTGCTGAGTGTGCTCTTGCGGGAAGCAGAGGCTCCGCCTAGAAAAACATTTCTCAGAGTGGAATTCTTAAGGCAATGTGTCTTGGGCTTAACTTTTGAAGCACAAATAAACATTTTCAAATGACGGGCATTGTGGGTTTCAGATGGAGACCCACACAACAACAGTATATTGTGACTCAGTAACATTCCTTGGTAAATGAGTTTCATAGACTAATAGTTGGGTTTAACGGTAACCAGGATGCAATCAGATGTGTTGGGGTGAAGTTGATTTTATGCCCCTTTAATGGGTGGCCACAGGCCGGGTCCTGGTCCCTGGGGGACGGGTCGTTGCTGCCTGGGGAAGGCTGCCTACCAGCCAGCCGTGGAGACCCCCAGCCCCGCACAGTGCGGGCATCAGACTGTCCTGGAAGCTGCCTGGTTGCTGGGGGGTTGCGGGGGATGGTGACTGGTGGTGTGGCGGGGGGATCCCAGGGCTTAAGGGCTGGGCAGTGATAGCTTGGCTTCCAGTAGGAGCCTATATAATGCCTAAGTGAAACTGCCTATCAATTAAGTTCAAATTGTGGCACCATGATGATCAATACAGAGTAAGGGGTTTCATTACAGGATGCCATCCTTTTGGTGGCAAGGTGGCAATATATCTGTAACGGGCATCCCCTCAGATGGGGGGGCAACCTTCTGTGCACTCGGCCCCGTCAAATACCAGAACCTTCCCGTGGTTCTGGAGTTCTCTGGTCTCCACGCTACACCCCTGCATGGTATCACGGCGTGCTACTTCCACCTCAACACACAACGAAGACGGCCATCCATCATTTATGCAATTACCTGGTTTCAGATTACATTCTGCCTTTTGCGCTCCCTCTTTCTCATGGCGCTCATGTATGTCGGTCATGGTCTAGAAAGGTAGACGTGTCCTTGAGCTGAATTGCCTTGGAGGTTGCATGTTCGCGGGAGGACTGGCTGGGAGTGTGCAGGTGCTCGTGATGGAGTGTGGCTGAGTCCTCCATTGACTTCCCAGTGCTGCTCAGCACCTGTTGGTCTTGAGGCTCAGCTCTTGGGAGTGTTCTCTTCCGTTTTAAACAAAGCCAGTGGGACAGTCCATTCTCCCTTGACCCAGGGGGTGTCTGTCTCAGACGTGGGGGGCTTTCTTGCATGAACCAAGGGCAAGATAGGGTGTTTCACAATGAACAGGCTTCAGTGGTAGTCAGACACCCACCTCAGTGTCACCTGAGGGAAGGAGTGGGTCTCGGGGAGTTGGCTTCGGCCCTTTGAAGGGGACTGGCCCCCAGCTCAGCAAGAATCAAGCTCGGTGCTGGTACAGCTGCAGGACGCCGGCCTTGTGCAGGTCCCACCACAGAGCTGCCTCCAGGGACAGATCGTGATTTGCATAGAATACCAGTGGCTGCTTAACTCGATCGAAGTAGTGGTCGGAAAACTTCCGGTAGTTACTTGTGATGAATCCATAGGCACTAACCTGGACAAAGATGGGCATTGAGCTGCTGCGTGCAGACTCATGTCAAGTGACATGGATTCAGGAAAGCCCAGTCCTGCCCCCCGCCCCCCGCCTTATGCCTGTGAAGATGCAGGTGAACGGGTGCAGCTCATAAGTGAAGTGCGACTCCTGCTGTACAGCAGGGACGAGGTGTGGGGCCAGAGCCCTGTGGCCTCAGTGGGGGTCACTGCCTGCCTTTGAAAACGGCTGAGTCTTCCCTGTGGCTCCAATGGAACGCCCCACCCACCTCTAAAGTGTCCCCATCAATGCGTGTCCCCGCCCAGGTCTGGAGAAGGCTGCTTTCAGAAGAGCAGTTTGTAATGTGTCTTGGATGCTGCATAGAATGGCTGCCCTGGGACAAGGGCGTGAAAGAAGGAAGTGTGGGCAGGGGCTGGCCCCCAAAGGACCCTGGGTATTGGATGCGACTCTCCCCTGCCTTCCCTAGACCCCTCCTGCAGCCGGGGGATCAGGTCTGAGGTGCCGCCTCGTGTGGGCTCTGGGGTAAGTCCGGTTCCATCCACACCTGGACTCTGCGGCTGTGGATTCCCGAGAGGCCGCTTACCTGGTCACAGGTATGTAACGCTGTCAGCAGCATGAGGGCCCCAGTACTAGGCATATATAAGTCTTTAAATTTTGAGATAATCCGCTTTGATTTCAAAAACCTGGAAGCAAAACGGCATCGAAACTCAGACATTTAGGTCTTGCACAGCAGCTTGGTAGTTACGCCATTACAGTGACCGACTCGGAAAGGCCAGGCAGTTCCTGGCCCTTCTCCCATCAGGTCTCTTCTTGGGGAAACTGATCCTAAAGACCACAGTCTCCTTTGATTGACCCACCCCCTTAGATGACGGGGTGAGGAAGGGGAGCGGGCCCATCCACAGGGGAACCTGCTTCCTCCTAGCAGCCTGCATCCAGCCTGGCTTGTGCCACCTCCTGCCTCCACCCTGGGCTACTGAGTAACCACAGCGCTAGGGCACAGGCGGCCTGCGTTTAGTCTGAGACCTAAGTTCCTCCCTATCCCCACACTCCTGGCCAAACAGGAACCACAGAGGCCCTGTGACTGGAGTCACTGGTGAGGTAGCACAAGAGTGACACCCCCTCCCCCATTGGTGACCACAGGCCCTGGCCTCAGCCCTGGATTCACACCGAGCTCCTCCGGCAGACCTGGCCTCAGCGTGTCCTCTGCACGTGGCTGTGACTGCTGGGCCCCCGCTGCCCAGGCCCACCTGGACCCTCACCGCTCCCGGGGTGCTCGCCTCGGCTGCAGCAGCTTTCTCACCCAGCTGCTGCACTAGTGACCCTTTAAAGGGCCTGGTTCATATCAACCTATGAACCAGGAGGTCACGGTTTAATTCCGGTCAGGGCACGTGCCCGGGTTGCAGGCTAGATCCCCAGTGGGGGGCAGGAGGCAGCTGATCAGTGATTCTCCCTCTCCCACTCTCTCTGAAATCAATAAGAATACATTTAAAAATAAAGGGCCAATCTTGGCTGCAGGGGTGTCCTGTGCATTACAGGCTGTTCAGCAGCAGCCCTGGCCTCTACGTACTAGTGGTGCTTGCACTCGCCTAGTGCCAACCAAAATGTTTCCAGGTGGACCAGTGGCCCTGCCCCGCCACGGAGAACCACGGGCAGGGACACCGAATGAGATCAGGTCTTGTTCCCTGGCTCCTCCCTGTGCTCACCTTAAGCCTGAAGATGGTGGCAGCTCAGCTTCCGCTACTGCCCCACACCTCATGGTAGCCCACACCCAGCCTGTGCCTTTATAAACAGCCCTGGCGCCCCGTCGGCGTGGCTCAGTGGCTGAATGTCGACCTATGAACCATGAGGTCTCGGTTCGATTCTTGGTCAGGGCACATGCCAGGTTGCAGGCTAGATCCCCAATGGGGGGTGTGCAGGTGGCAGCCAATCAATGATTCTCTCCCATGGATGTTTCTCTCTCCCTTCCTCTCTGAAATCAGTAAGTTGGTTTTTTTTTAAATAAACAAACAGCCCTGGCAAATCAACCTTGAGGGTTTCCCGTTCCCCTGATTGGTGCCCACCACCTCCATCGAGGTGCTGAAGTAGCTAAACCAATGACAAGGCTTTGGCACCTGCTTGGCGTGTGGCCCTGGCTCGGTTAGAGCAGATGGGCCTGAAGGGAAGGCCGGCAGTGCGGGGGCGCTGCCACCCCGACCACCTACCTCTCCGTCAGGTAGCTGATGAAGGCTGGATGGAGTAGCTTGAATTTGCTGGCAGAGGCTTCTGGTCCGAAATAGGTCTGAGGCCTATTTTGGGAGGAAGCGGACGGAGCGGTTCAGGCTCTCGTACTGCATGGAGAGGTAGCCGCCCGAGCGGCGGCGGGGCAGGGAGCGGTAGTAGAAGCGCGGCTGCGAGTAGTAGCGGGAGAAGGGCGTGTAGAAGGTGGCGGGCAGCACCGAGGGCACCACCGGCGGCTTGGAGCCCACCAGCACGTCGATGGGCAGCTTGTAGGTGAGCGAGCACGGGGGCGTGAACAGGTTGGGAGGCGTCGGGAAGTTGTTGATGGCGTTGGGGTAGTGGGGCGGGGGCTGGAGGAGAGGGAGGTAGAGGGACCTCGGGGCGCCGGGTGCGCGGGGGGGACTGGGGGGGCTGGCACAGGGGCAATGCAGACGTGGGGGGCTGGTAGAAGGGGGGCTCCCTCATGAAGCGGGGCACGTACGGGGTGATCTGGGACGGGATACCTGGAATGGACCCGATGTAGGAGCCCGAACCCATAGGGCTGTAGGAGGGGGACCTGGAGGAGCGCCCGGGGGGCGTCTGGGAGTTGGGGGGCGTCAGGGAGTTGTTCCGGGAGGCAGGTTTCAGGCCAGACTGGGAGGGAGACTTGGAGGCGGGGGGAGTGGCGGTTGGGGGAGATGCTCGAGACACGTGTTGGGAATGAGGGCTGGGGTTCAGGGAGGGAGCCCGGGAGGGGGGCTGCGAGGGGGAGGGGGTAGGAGGGTGGGAGGGCGGGCGGGAGGAGGACCGGGTGGGGGTCGGGGACGGGGCTGAACCACCCGAGCTGGTGTAGAACATGGTTGGCAGGGCTGCTGTTGTGGTTGGT